TGTTCTCAGAATCCCCATAACCCCAGATAAAATTATCTAGACGCGTATATTTGCACGAACTCTTTGTCCACCAGGTTATTCCAAGAAATTACAAGCTAAATAATTTTTTTTGTCTGTGAGAGTGTTTTAGAGGAAGTGTCGGAGGAAATACAGGGCATGATGCCGCACTGATCACTACATATGTAGAGGTAGACCTCCTATGGTTTAGAAAATCCATTTATTCTATTAAAAGATAGAAAAGTGGAATATTTAAAGAAGTAGGACTAAAAATTAATTTCTGGCCTTCTGTAGACAGATCTATGTTAGTTATGAGCTCTGAATGGTTGAAAATACAAAAATGTAAGGAGTTGCCACCAACTTAAAACAATTTTGATTAATTAAAATTAATTAAAGAGAATTGATAAGATAATTAATAAGATAAATTATATATTACAATTTCGATATGAAACGAAAGGTTTTTAAGAAATATTTGATTTAGAAACATTTATCAAATGCATTAAATATATTTATTTCATACCTAACCTTACACCTAATCGCATAAATGATTTTCATATTTCCATTTTATTAGACGAACCCACAGTAAGGCGTGGCAGAATAAATTTGTTATAAAACATATTTTAGAAATTTTGTGAACTATAACATATGTAAATACTAAAACTATAAAGAATTCATTTCGACAAAAAAAACATTAGGAATCTATCGTTTTTTTGCAATAACATACACTCATATGGATATGTAAAAACTGGAAATGAAACAAATTAAAAATCTAAGGCCATTTCATAAGCTTCGCATGTCTGCACCGGAGTTGAAACAATACAAAAAATAACTAAAATGAAACTGAGAGGGACAGCTAAAGCAAAAGTACAAAGCTAAGGCCATGAATGCTTCTGCAGAATCCGAGTAATGCTAGTAGCAAAAGCATTGTGGCTTCCTCAGCCGAGCATGGCCCACAGCTACACAACTAACTACATAAATACGACCGACACGTTGGGCAATGACTGTCGTCCATTTCGTCTCTAAATGGCAAATCCAGCAGATAATATGTGCCAGTGGGTGCATTTATGTATTTTCATTTATAATTTCAAGTATTTGTCATTTTGTGATCTTCAAATGTGCATTCACTCGTAATAAAACTCGCCAACAGAGGAATACCTAAATATTTGTAGCATAAAATGCAGCAAATGAAATGTGCGGTGGGCCATGTAAAACACAAAAATTGTATTTGCATTTTGTTAGTACTCGTAGTAGCGGCTAAAAAATGATCGGTTGGGAAGGGAAAGTGAAAAATCTTGCCGCAACACTACTGGAAATGATGTGTGACATTGCGGAGGAATGACGGCAGCGATATGCAAGCGGAATATGATTTGCGGTGATTTATGCTGACTCAGGTGCTTAGCGCACCCCTCGCTCGCTTCTATGGCGCTTCGTCGTATGTGTGTGCATTTGCAGCAACGGGCCAACCCATCGATGCTGGTTCGCGTTTTGGTGACATTTATCAAATCCTCTGTGGCCAAAGTATAATCACGGCTGAATTGTGAAATACAGGCGAAAAAAATTGAAAAATAATAGCATTATGCGAGATTAATACTGGCATTTGTGGCCGTTATGATGGATTTTAGTTGTAATGTTGTGGCATTTGTTGTTGTAATCAATGTGAGTGATCAGCGTTGCGGGAAAAGCTCCGTTGATAGGCAGCTGCTATTGCTTTTTTACTCGTACTATACGGATGTTTATGTTGGAAATATGATTATTGCTGGTTGTAGTCATGAATATTAAAAACAGCACACATATATAAATATGTAGATGTGCAAAAATGCCATTGTAAATTTGTATGCTTTCGGAAATGCGCAATTTTTATGCAGAGGCCAAATTGAAATACATATATATGCAACCCGAAATATTAGCTTATATTTTTAATACTTTCCAGTTATATTCCTTTCTCTTACCTCAGACGAGTATGCACTCTCCCATGGCTTTTGCTATTTTGAAACTTACATACACGGACAAATGCATTTAATCGAATTTGTGCAATTCTTTATGATATTGCTGACCTGCGCGCATCTGCAGGTATTGTACATACGTTTCTGTGTATGCGTGTGTGCATATCAGCACCCTGTGAGGGAATGCACTACTGCCGAACTGGTTCCGTACTAAAGAATTTAGACCCACGACTAGTGCGCATTATTACTCTTTTGTATGTCGGCAACAGGCGATTTTGACATTACGATGTCCTACGAAGTGTCAACTGCTCCCCGATGCATCCCTTTTCTGATAGTTTCAAAGCAGTTCTAAAATTGACAAGCGAAAAAATAGCATGATTTTTTTCAAACCGAGTCTTTTCGTTTAAATTATTGTAAAAGAAATGTGTTTTCAATTTGAATAAATGTAATTCAAACTGAGCATTTGAAAATACGTACGTTTACATAATATGTTCCTACATATTACATATTATGTTCCTTTGACTGTGGTTGGGTGTGCAGAGGTGCTTGCTGTTGTTTCAAATTGCGAAGTTCTCAAGTGACAGCTGATTTTAAGGAAAAGTTGCAATACCACAGCAAAAGACTATTTGCAATAAATGTATACCTTATAATACGTGTTCAAAAAATCTAGATAACCAAAAAGGTCCGTCTTCGGCAAAAGCTTCCGTAGTTTTTTGCCGAAGGCGAGCATTCAGCCGAACATTAAAATATTGCCGGATAATCGTCAAACCGAAGCCGAAGCCGAACAATCGATAGGACTCTAATATGTACATACATGCATACATAGTATACACCATAATGCTTTAAAAACAATCAACAAAATGCAGGCTCAACATTTGCAATGTTGTTTCTTCCATTTCATTTCATCTGCTGAGGCATGTAAAATGCCAAGGGGAAAAAGTCAGTTGTAGCAATTGCTATAAACAGTTTTAATAATTTGCTGCAATCGTCGACTAAATAAATGTGCATTTTTATTGCTCTAAATATTTTTCAGTGTTGGGTTTGACCCATGGGTGAGCAGCTTTAAAATTTGCCAGGAAAATCATATATAAATAATGGTGATTTCGTTTCTTCTTCAAAAAAGTGTTGCCCTTGCGCGGTGCAAAATGTGTTTGATGTCACACTTAACCCTGTAAAAGGCCATCCTTTTGCCCTCTTGTTCTTGTCAAGTTCAGGCATTTCATAATATTGTCATTTTAAGCAACCATTTGATTTTCAGGGCAACCATCTTCTGACTTTCCTCACTTTGAAATGAGCGAAAAAATCATTTATATTTATTATTAAAGGCACATGAGAAAATGTATTAAAACTCATGTCATAATGTCTGTTCTTTGATGCTTTTAATACATAGACCTAACCATGGGTATGGGTGTAGTTCACTTCGGATGTATGGCTCTCAAAGTAAAAAATCGGGCTACATAAATACTAAAAAAATAAAAAATTTGTATGAAACTTTCTTAAATATATACCGTATAAGAGTTTGTCGTTAGCACCATTTTGATGTTTTTAGTTATTGATTACTATGGGTTTATATAGGACTACAATTGAGTCCATTTTTGGGCATCTCTTTTATTTTCGGAGATATTTAGTAAAAAGTATCATTAATTTAGTACAAATTTTCATTACATTTTGTCTTATAACATACCAAGTGGCAGCAAAATTGTTGACAAATGTAGCATACAACAAAATTTTGCTTAAGAAAATCCTGCATAAAGTCAATAGTAATAACAATAAACAATAAAAATCAAATGGTTTAAAAATTTCTTGATCTAGTAATTTCTCCGTGACTTTGAAGATGATCTATCATCGTTGAGGTATTGAATTCTAAATTTTAATTGCGATTTCCGAAAACGTGCCGCAAGTAATAAATACACGACAATATTTTATACAGGCGATGGTATGTGTGTATTTGCATTGATATAACATAGTCACAAACCAACACTGCCACTACGAAAATAACCCACACTTCGTCTACTACTTCCTGTTTCACATTTCTCCTAATTTTTTCTGCTTTTCTATTAAATTGTCTGATCTTTCTAACTAACACCGTCATTCTCGTTATTATGTACTTATTTCATTCTTGCATTATAGTAATTTATTATTGATTTTGCTTTACGTCTAGTAGTTTGCTAACCCATTTTCGTTAACACAGTTTTAAGCATGGTACTCCTGAATCAATTAATAAAGACAGCTTCGAGAGGAAAGGACTTGTTTATACAGTATTGGCCAATACAATAGCACCCCCATTTCAAAGTGATATTGTTTGCCACTCATGTTTATTTATTTATTTTAAAGAATTTTCAATTAAAATACAGTTCATTCTCTCACAAAACTCACATAAACTCAAGTTTAAAACTTTTTAAAAGACCGCAAAAAAGTGCAACAAATTTTCACCCAAATTTCAAACATTTTTCTCAGAATCGGTAGAATTTTTTTGAATACACAGTTTTATAGCCCATTCAATTTTAGTCTAATAATGTGCAAGTTTTAAGTGTCTAAAAATTACCGTTGATTTTTTAGAATTTTTTTCGCCGAGAATGTTGCGGGTTTCTGCCATATAAAAATAAATTGTGTTTAGTCGTTAACGGTAATCTTTAGCGACTTGAAACTTCCACATTATTTGACTAGAATTGAATGCGCTATAAAATTGTGTACTCAAAAAAATTCTAGAGGTTCTGAGAAAAAAGTTTGAAATTTAAGGGAAGTTTGTTGCACTTTTTTGCGGTCTTTTACAAAATTTAAAACATTGGTTTATATGGGTTTTGTTGAACTGTATTTTAATTGAAAATTCTTAAAAACAAATAATTAAACATAAGTGGCAAACAATATCGCTTTGAAATGGGGGTGCTATAGATATGTCCAATACTGTATATATTAATTTACTTACCATAATACATAGTTTATTAAATTAGGGATTTTAATTAGTTATATTTTTCTGTTTCGGTGTTTCGCTTTATTTCTTTCTATAATCCAATCAGTCAATCAATATTCATTATATATATAGTATGTATATTTAAATTTTTTCTTGGCATTTTATTTTTATTTGTTTCTGTGCCCACACTCACGCAGTGTTGCACCAATGTTTTAGCTTCTTTGAACTATGTCTATAGAGGTGTCTGTATATAACTACACGCACAATGTGGCAGGCTTCAGGAACCCCCTGCGAAAGAGATAATAGAAATTTTAAATTACCAAAATGCACAGAAAGACTTTTGGTACCTCACTGAAGCTTACTCGTAAAATTCGTTGCGATAAACCTGCAAGTGCGCTGAATGCTGCAACCGCTTGAGTGCTGTCCAGAAACATACATTTTCGTTGAAATATAAACGTCCTGATATATACGTTTCTCCTTGGATGAAGCGGCGAAGCTGTTATTAAGCTTTCAAAAAGTGGTGTCTTCCTTGACCTATGCTTTCGAGGGTAATACCGTTGGAGAGTTGGAAAAAGGGGTCATACTCAGAAAATGCCTTGTAAATACGTGTTTTGAAAGAAACACACGGTGTTTGAAGAAGACACAGTGAACAGCCATTATTGACTTCGAGTGATATATTATCATGATCGGATAAGAAGCTGCTTCGCTATGTTTTCTGTGATGCCTCACATAGCAGACGATATGTGAGCTACTCGACAAGATCAAAGCCTGAAAAAAGAAAAGTTAATCAAAATATTACATGTGAGTGGTGGTGTGAGCAACAAAAGCCTACCCATAAATGTAGGTGAATGCGGACCGTCTCGGCCTTTTTATTCTTCCCACAGTCCATCTGTATGGCGCGTACTATCGCTTCCATCTGCAAAGAAAACAAAATTATGACATTAATAGAAACCGAAAAGTTTCTTCTGGCTGAGAGTCGATTTTTAAGTAGACATGATAATTAAGTAAAAATATGAATTCAATTGCCTGATTTGGCTGGACAAACGAAAGCAAGAGCGCTACTGAACTCTCTCTGAATATCTCTCTGCACCAGGTATGAATATTTAGCGAAACTTTATAAACTGAAAATGCACAAACTGAAGCCGTAGCTGTAGCACCAAATGACAAGAATACTTGAAAGTTTTTAAATTATTCGGTATAACTGTTTCTCCTGTTATGATTTGTTAAGGTAGGTAGGAAGGTACGAGGACTCTGTGACTGAGTGAAATACCTTACCATTATACTCGGCTAGCGACTTAACTAAAACGCTCATCTCCCTAAAACTCTGGATACATCCACTAGGCCTCGAAGGCCTGAGATCAGTTTGTAGTTTCAAAGTTTGGTAACAATTGATGGATCTTTTTCAATAGCCTTTCTAGACCAGGTATCCAGTGGAGGAAGCCTGAATGGAGAAAATCAGATCTTCGAAAATATTTACTAGTTAAATTATCTCCGGTAGTTTTTACTTCACTTTTAACCCTTGTGTTGCTGTGCAGACCAACAATAACATTTTGTCTTTCACACTATGTGGTGCTTAGCTCGACAAACAAAAGTGGCAAGTCGCCCCTGTTCGGGTGGCCGAGAGGTAGACAGCAACATTTTAGACAATACTTGGTTGGCCTGTTGCCTGTTGTGATGTGGAACTGTTAAATTACCAAATGGCATGCGGAAAGTGGGGCTTTGCACCCAGTAAAATAAATATTTTCGTTTCTGGCAGCACATACATTTTGAGTACATATTTATTGTTCCTTGTTATATTATTATTGCTTAGCATATTTTCCTTTTAAATGTGGTTTACTCACTTTGTTTTGGCTTTTTGTGTGCTTTGTTTGTATTTGTTTTAAGGATTTAAGTACATAAGTAGATTTTTTGTTTTTTGTTTTACTTTGTTTGCATAAAGTCCTCTTTTGTTTTAGATATTTTATTTCAGTTGTTGCAATTTTCGGGCTCGGTGTATTGCATTTATATCATTGTTGTTATTGTTGTTGTTTAGGTGTTGCTGTTTAGAGTTGTTTATAGCATTCTATAAATATAACTAAGTAGTTTTTGATGTTGGCGTATCGGTGCTGAGGAGGCGTATGAGCATATTTGCATGGGCTATATATCGCACACGTGCTTCAAAAGGGCAATACAAAGCAATTATATGTATTTTCAGTTCAGATTTTTGAGCTGTGCCCCTTTTGAAGGTGGTGTGCGATATGTACATATAGTGACCATATTTTAGAAATAAAATTAGAGTACAAGTTTTCATTATGTATATTCTCGCCACCGCAGTAACAACTGCTAAATCCACTTTTCAGCCAAAATAACCTTTTTGATACTGACGAAGAGGTGAAAAAATCTCTGTATGCTGGTGAAGGCAAACATTTTTTAGTAGTTAAACGCGCTAGAAATATTTAACAGTAAATTATTTCAATGAAAACTTTCATCTGATAAAGTTGCATAACATATTATTTGAGGTGGCAAGCTGCGAAAAATATTTTTTAAATTACTCTCGAATAATTCGAGAAAAAGTACATCAGTTTCGGCTGCTTCAAAATATTATTGTAAAACCTTTTCTTTTTCATTTATGCACGAAATTTGACATTCACCAAGCTGGCTGACCGAAGTTGCGGTAGGTCATACAATTTTGTTCGCAGCGTTGCCATTTCGTCAAAAGTGCTACTTTGCGACCAATATGTTTAGAGCAGCCCTGGGCGGCGCCTGCCCGGCGGGCATATTCGCATATATATACACGTTCTGCTTTAGAAGGCAGCGAAAGCTTCATTCACATTATAAAAATTCTCTGTCGAAGCTGCCCACCTCTGGTTTAGAGCGTGTGTATGAATTTTCGTGTTTGAAAGCTCTTTTCCCGGGTGCTTTTGTTAGTTCATTTTACGTGCTGTTGGGATGTACGTTTTATTAGCTGTTATTATGTTGTACTACTGTTTTATTGTGCCACACACTTTCTCGTCAGTGTTGGATAAACACAATTCTCTGCGCTGAACCTTAATGCACTCCGTCAAACCGGCAGCGTGTCATAGGATCACTGTCATCATCCGCCATCAGCAGTCAGGCTACGGCGTCATGCGTATGTGGTATGCACACTTACTATGTTCATGCGTACCTACTAAATATGTATGTATGTATACAAAAATATTTTCTATAGTTATTATATTGTTTTTTTGTTTGCTGCTATGTTTATATTGGCATTTGATCCCACAAATATATCAATCATAATTTGAGAAATTTGTTGGTTGTGCGGAACCTATTTTTAGTACTTTCAGCAGTGTTCGCAAATTTTATGCGTCGATTAGATTGGAAGCAGGTGGGCGGACTAGAAAAGGGTTTATGATTAATGTGAAAAAGACTAGGCGAATTGCAAGGAAAATTGCGGCAGGTTTTCAGCTATTTTCTTTTAGAGAAGAAAAATTTGCTTAATTTTTTTTTCATTTATAGGACTTTTTGGGATATTTTTGCTTTTTTATGAAGATTGTAAAGTGCGAAGTGCGATTTGCAAAGTGCGGAGCGTATCAGCAAATTCACACCCTCCCGCGCGCAAGCTATTGCCAAAGGTACACGACAATGTCATTCGCTGTTGCGTGTGTGCACCTGCTGTTGCTTCACTTTTCACTTAGCCTCGTTTGCGCGTTGGTGTGTACGTGTGGCGGATTCGCACCCCATTGCATTTGCTATGTAAATTTTTTATGTCGCCTAAGATGTACTTTGAACTTAGAAAGAAAACAAAATACTTTGTAGACAGTTATTTTGCGTTCAGCTTTTATGTTTTCTCGCTTTTGTTATTTTTTCATGCATTAGTGTGAAAGGTATTCGTGCGCTCTTGACGGCGTCACGAGTTTCTGAGAGCAAAAATATGTGCATCTACCCATAAATAAAGCAGAAGTCTATTGTTGAGGAGAAGTTTCGCTTGCTCGTATTTTATAAGTTTTAAAATTTGCTTTTTCTGCTTGTTTGTAATATTTTTACAAGATGCATTGGCAATGCGATTTTGATGCTACAACATAATTCTTTTTGTTTGTATTTAAATGGTAGAAAAATTTCTTAAAATAAGGAGATCTTAACGATTGTAAAGATTGTAGAACTTTTTGTGTGACATAGATGTTGTAAAACGCACGCAATGATTGCGTTGGCTGAATTTGCCGGACGTTTGGATAAAGATTATCAGGTGAAAATCCTTCTAGCCAAAATTGATAGTATTTATTATCCAAGGCTCTTCTGTTATACTCGCTGTACAGTGTCTTAAGAAGACGGTTCCCAAGTACAGGTCTCAATACATTGCTGGGAGATGAACCAAAATTACTCTACACAAATCGTTCATTATGCATGTTTTTCATATGGCGCGGAGACGTCAACGATATTGAAAAAATATGATCTACAATTCTGCGTAAGTTAAGTGCCATTGATCGTGTGCATAACGCCGTTATAGAGGAGCATAATTTACTTCAAAAAGTAAAGTGTACTTTCTTATTCTCAAAATCTATACCGGCGGCTTCATCTTCATATACAGGGTGTCCCAGAAGTAACGTGCCAAACTTTAGGGCAAGGTAGGTGGGGGGGTGAGCTCACTGATAAACAAAAAATTTTCAGGTAAAAGTGTCACCGTTTTTGAAATATTTACATTTTTTCGAATTTAAAAAAAATCGTGCCTTTTCATGTGTTTTCTTTAACTGCAACTACAAACCAGGCAATACTTAGTAAATTTTTTATCTAAAATACTTCCAGATAGTTGCCTTTCCATACTCAAATGCAATGTAGTTAAAATATATTAAGGAACCATCATAAAATTAGGACTATTTCTGGATTTTTAACTTTTTGATATTTTCTTCCCCAACTTTGACTATCTCGGGTGAAAAAAATGTACTGAGCTATAACTTTACATTACACAAAAAAATTGCTCATTTAATAAAGATTTCAGAAAGGTGCAACACTTACTGTTTTGAACAGAAAAAAAAAGTTATAGCCGCTTTTGTGGGTAAAGGACTGAGACACGCTAGAATGTATTTAATAGATTTAAATTGAATTTGCTCTTGTTACCGTCAAATGACATGCTAAATAACTAGTACAAAGGTACATAATTACTTGCTTCTGACATTATTTTATGTTACTTACCGGAATTCGGAGTAGAGTCTATAACAAGGGCTATATCTATCAATATTTTGTGCGAAGGATGGGTTCACGTGAAATAAGATATACATGAGTTGTTTGAAGAAAAATTTATTCATTTATTGATAAAATATGCTCAAATTGGCGGCCTTCTACTCTAATACAAGCTCGGCACCATTTAAGAAAAGACGCTTTTAGAGATCTTAAACCCAATTGGGCTATCTCAGCAGCAGCTCCATTTATTTGTTCCCGCAAATGCTCTTCGTTTTGAATTGTTTTTGAATAAATTTTGTCCTTAAGACAGCCCCAGTAGAAAAAATCTAATGGATTCAGGTCTGGCGATCTAGCGGGCCACGTGATTGGCCCGTATCGTCCAATCCATCGGCGAGGATAAGTTTCGTCTAGATGAGCTCTTACTTCACGCCCGTAGTGAGCAGGGCAACCGTTATTTTGCAGCCATAGTCGTCGCCGCAGGTTTAAGGGTACATCTTCTAAAAGAGTTGGAAGCCGTTCCTGAAGGAACTCTGAGTAACTGGGAAAGTTGGGCGTTGGCGGCAGTTCCACAAGTCCCAATATCTGACAGTTAAAAATACCGCACCATAAATTTATTTTGTACCGGTACTGCGAACGATATTCTTCGTGAGGATTGTCTATCTGCCAACTGTGAAGGTTATGTAAATTAATCTAACCATCACCATCATGATGAATCATCGCTCCAAATTATTTTATTAAACAAGTTGGGGTCTGATTCATGCATTCGCAACATTTCACGGC